CCAAACTGGTGCTACAACTACCCCTACCTTGTCATGAATCAAGAGAGATGCATCACGTCCATCACTACCCTCACTCTTCGTCACATTAACAGCCGGGGCAGTTATTAGATCCGCACTTCGATCAATGTAGATAAAATGGACAAGACCAGGAAATCTCTCAAGGTATGTTGTCATGGTAATGTTCCTTTGGGCCTTCACTGTGAAGTATTGTTTGTAAAGATTGAGACTCTCTGCAATGTTTTTCTGGATGATGTCCAGTGCCTCTTCGTGCTTATCGTAAGCAGGACCAGAAAGTTTTCTCTGAGTGAGGTACCTCACTCGGAAGACTGCTTTTAAAATCTTCTTAAGCTCTGACACTGCTGACTCTAATCTGAAAAAAAAAATTACAGAGCAACAATATAGAAGGCAATTTTTAAGTATTTTTCTTGTATACATATTGAATTTAAATATGCAAGTTTTATATTTTTAAAGTTTATTTATATACAGATGTCAACTTTTAAATATTTGGTTTGTGTACATATTGAATTTGAATATGTAGATGTAGTTTTTTTTTTATTGTTTGTTTTACTTTTGTCTGTTTTCTTTCTTTTGCTTCCTTTTTCTTATTCTATTTTTTAGTATTTTAATGATTGCTATTATAAATTTTATGACTAAATTGATAGATTGGCTATACTTTTACATACATTTTATATTTTTGTATTTAAGTGGGCCCCTGAACATCATATTTATTCTGTAAGGGTCGTCCACTCAAAATATGGTTTTAAATAAATAAATAAATAAATAAATAAAATATTCTTATAATTTTAGTGATTTGTAAAGAATAATATCATTAATGATATTATTATTCAACTGTAACTACCTCTACTTAAAATGTTTGATTAAATGGCTTTTGAGCCGCAATACAGAATATAAAAAAATGGTACCTGGGGGTCATAGGCTCAGATATACCACTATTTGCATATTCAAGGAGTCCGAACTTCCGACAATTATCCCAGCATTCACTGAGGGACACAAACTGCCTGTGAAGGACTCCCTTCCAAAGTAAACAATGATTATGCAATTAAAAAATAGTAATTATAATTAAATTATAGTCATTGTAATAATCAATAAATTTTTATATGTGTACATTACAGTATATTGACACAAATAGCTTAAAAACATAATTAATGATATCATTAAGTGTTTTTAATTGATTTGCATGTCAAGTAAAAAAATTAAATACCTTGTGGTATACATGTGTTACAATATGGTTTTAAGAAAAACCTTTACAGTAGTTTGTGTTTTTGATGCTTCTCCTAACTGTGGGTGAAAAATTGGGTGAAAAAAAAATATGTTCCTAATAGGAGCTGAGTATACTGCAAAAACTGGGTCAAAATTACTTCAAACATTGTCCATTATCAGACAAGGTGCTATCAACCATTGGTCATCTGTCAAATCATAGGACCAATTACCAACTCCCTGATAAAACTACATTCACAACATACTTGGCATGCCTGTCAAATGAAATGAACTGAAATGAACCTTAACACATTCCATTTTACAGAAATATTCCAATACCACAGTATAGAATATCTGTGCAAGTGCCGTGTACTGAAAAAAAAAGAACCAAAGGAGGCCGAGAGAAGGGATTAGTTGCAGTGAAGAAGTTGAATTGTTTCGATTTTGGTTATTTTATTTAGTATAAAAATGTTGGAAGCATACTGCAGCTTGGAATTGTTGAATGTTGAATTATGAAAACAACTGTTAATGTAGTTAACACAACGGACCTTTCCTGAATGTCAATCACAATTAACAACCGACCAATCAGAATTTACTATTTAGTAGACAGGGCCAGGAATATGCAAATGTCCCAACATTACAATCTTACAGTAAAACGACCATATGCTCAGCTATGTTTCTCTACGAATGATTGCTGTCAAGCGGAACCTCAAGAAAGTATATCCATATCGAAACTTAGTCGAACCAGCAGGCATGGAATTCACAAGGGATATTCCAAAGTATATAATAACTAGCTATGTTTTTCTACGAATGATTGCTGTCAAGCAGGACCTCAAGAAAGTATATCCATATCGAACCTTAGTCGAACCAGCAGGCATGGAATTCAAAAGGGATCATTTCAAAGTATATAATAACTAAATTAATAATAATAATATTGTTTATTTGTTTTATTATTATTATATTGTTTTATTATTATACTATCAACACCCGTATTATCATCACCAACATAGATAGTAATTGAACTAACCTTAGATTTCTGTAAAGTTTCTCGGATCTTTTTAACACATGTTTCAAGCTCTTCGACGGCTTGTTTCAAAGTGACCCTTGTTCTTCGTGTGACCTTGCCTGGGTCCAAGGACTCAAGAGCTTTCAATGCTCTACACAGGAGGCTGGCTAAGGATGATTTCAACTGTAAAGTAAAATGATAAACGAAATATAAATGAAATGTTCCGTAAAAAATTTAATAACGGAACACTTTAATACAACAACATAACTAAAATTAAAAAAGATTTATTTAATTTTTCCATATTTGGATTTAAACCTAATACATAAAGCATTTTAAAGGGTTGCAAGGTTTTTTCTAGAATGAAATCAATATTTAATTAGATAATATATAAAGTAAAATTGTAACGGTGGCCAATGTGTTTATATACAGTATTACACTACATATATAGTAGATTAGTAAAGATTGCTCAAATTCACACCTCACTTAGTATAATCAAAGTAATTCCCTGTAGAATTGGAATGAATTGTGCTATGTGAGGTGTGTACTGGCACGTATGCCCACGTAAGAATACTGGGATTCGCAGCTTTTCTTGCCGAGGAAGCTGTCGCGGCTTGGTTGGTTCCAGATTGGCAAAGGAAAACGGAACATCTTCATACACCCTAGGTTGTGGCTCTTCAGGAATCGTTTCTTCATCTGAAGACGACTGTAAAAAAATATTGTAAATTTCAGTCAGGAAATTCATCAGTTCATCATTTTTCAGTTCACTGCCAAACATAGAGGTTTTGGTAGTCAGACATGCTTTTCAAATGGTACAATTTCTTCATTTTGTCATTGCTCCTATATATTTTGGTGATTTTTTTAAGATTGCAAAGATTTTTTGTAGCTAGGCCCCTGTTGTTAAATTATGCCTGTGAGAAAGGCCAAGTTGGGATGGGGAAAAGTGTAGTGCTTGTGCTTCGGTAGTTTCAGAGAAATGTGATTTTTGTAGCCTATGGGTTTCATATTGGCTGTCAATCGTTACCTAAGAAAACTTATGACTGTCTTGTAGCGAGTGATTTAAGTGTCCATGAGCATTGCAGCGATCCTGCAATGTTACTGCAGGAAATGTTATGGCATCTTTAGCTAGTATAAAAAGAGCTCAAGACAGAAAATGCAGAAAGTCATATTAGATAATTGGAACAAAATTTAAGAATTCAGAAAAACAGAGTCAACTAGCTGTGTTCTAAAGATATTGAAAAATTAATTGATAGTAGACTCAAATTCCTAAGACTCAAGGCAGATACTCGGTGCGCCCAAGGGTTGTCAGCCGTCACGGTTCTACGAAGAACACAACGCCACGATGCGCGAGCATGAATCGTTTTAATGAGGATCCATTCAGACTGACACCAACAATAAGCCAAAGGCGATGAGTCGTCTAACGTTCACAAGGAAGTGGAGTTAGATTCGCTGTACGACCGTCGTATGACCCAGTGAGTACCCAGCGTAAAGACCAACTCAGACAGCAGTGTACCACACAGCTTCACGCAACATATTGTTGGGGACAGTTTTTAGGTCGTCATGATCATAAACATGTTCAACATTCTATGGCACGACTGTCACCAATGCAGACCTCATGTCGCGTTTAACTCACACAGGCCCAAATTGTTGGCCTTTGTATTCTGATAAAGCATCGTATTATTTCTTATATTTATTAGGGCCCTTGCATATTAGCCGACCTTTTAAGGATAAGCTGGAAAAGTCACATTCTGTAAATTTTGTTAAAGAAAAAAATGAAAAATGGAATAAAAGAGTTTTCCTACCTCAGATATCCTGTTTTGTTCTTCAAACATACCCTGTATGTGACTTCTTTCCACATCTGCATGTGGTGTATGAAAGCACTCTGAACTTTCTAGTTCACCAGATTTTTGTACTGGAATATCTAGAGAGTTAGGAGTGCCATCCCTAACACATTCTCTTGAGTCAGTCTCCACTTCATCAACGCCTTTGTTTGAGCTATGAGGAGCATGTTTGTTAAATGATCTTCTCGCAGGTGACTTATTTGTATGTGATTTGTTTCCAGGTGTTGCCATGTGCTCTACAGGTGTGGTACACCTCTCTGGGGTACTTTTAGGACTATGGTAAGAAGAGGATGAAACCTGAAACCAAGATAAACCAGTAAACTTAGTGCAATGTTTTTTGCACTATGTTCCAATAATAATGATTCAAAAAATAATAACGATGATGATTGTGATGATAAAGATGATGACGATGAAAATGATGATGATGCGAACGATGCCATGAAGTATCCTAACACTAGCATTATGTTGCAAGATAAACGTGTACAGGTATATTCTGAATTTGTTTTCATTTAGTAGGGTAGTAGGGTAACCTATCTTTTATTGGTAACTGTAAAGCACTTAAAACACTGCAATATATGTTGCATATTTTGAAACAATGATAACAGTAATAACAACAACATTTTTTAGTATATATGCTGAACTCACAGAATTAGAATCTTCTCCATCACAAGATTTACTTGGGTACTCATCACCGACTCTCTGCCCTCGGCTCTTCATCAAACTTTCACTGCTTAACAACTCTGGAGGGTGATCTTCAGGTGCTTTGTATGGACGCGAGAGCATATCGTCGAGAGTTTCCATGGATGGGTAAATGTCACATGCTAGTACTGTCAGAAGCAAGATATCCGAGGGTTGAAGCTCGTTTGCATTCCGGCTGGAAAATAGAAAAAATTAATACCCAAAATAAACCAGGTTGTAACATCACTGATGGAAAGTGCAGTACCGATCATGAGCAGCGCATTTTTGTAGAATGCGGTGCCAATGGGCAAACTGCGGACGGTAGATGCAGAAAAAAATTGGCCCATTCTTGATGCTGGCAGCATTTTTCTAGACTTTTTTTTGTATGTGATATTACTTTGATTACTACTGTGTGCATATTACTGGATGCAGCCCCCTCGAGCACTGTAGCTAGCCAGCTTCTTCAGCCGGGCAGGCAATTGGTGGATGTTTTATGCGTCACCTGCAGACAAAGTTAGTGTAGAATGTGCACTGCCCCTGATCGTTATGTACATGTGAATATGATGAATCTTGATTGGAATATCTCGGGAGATATCCCTGTTTCAATTTGTTACATTTTGTTCTACATGATTATCAGGTATAAATAATAAAATAGAGTGCAAATGAACACCTGAAATAATGCAAGATGTAACATCACATGGTTTTACGGGAAGCAGTTTGGCGCAGTGCAAAAGGTTTGGTTCCCCAACCTCAAGATCGGTGTTTCAATCCCTCGCTGTGCAGATCGTTTGTGTCCTTGAACAAGGCACTTTATCTTCGTTGCTTCTCTCCACCCAGGAGTATAAATGGGTACCTGGTGGAGTTGCCGGCTACTGAGCCAATATGGCAGCAACAACTAAACATGTGGAAACAACAACCTGAGAAAACAAAGTGCTTTGTAACCTAAACCTGGTATAGAAATACCAAGTAACAAATAACAAAATGTTACTTTGCATGTGACGAAGGCTTTACCTTGAGAATAGCGCAAGTAGTTTGGCGTTGACAAGAAGCATTGTGTGAAGTGCATATTTATCTCCCATGCTGTGCATTTTCTTCAACGTTGTTTCCAAGAGATTAATACACATTTCATTCACTCCCTGGTTCACCTGTAATCTCTCAATGGCCTACAAAAATATAAAATTATAATAATATATAATAATAATAATAATTTTTATAGCACAAATTATAAAACAATGTTAAAATTAAATATTTATTTTTGTGAATTGCTGATGCAAAAATCTGGGGGTGGGTGGAGGTTTACTATTTTCAAGTGCCTACATTAAACTTAGTAATACAGTAGTAACCCACTACTCTAATAGTAACCCATACTCTAATAGTAACCCACACTAAAAAACAATCAAATAATATTAACCCAGGGTTATTATTAGAAGTTTTACGATATATGCCTCTTAAACTTTGTGAAGCAATATTCAGTATATAGGCCTACAACATTCGCAGCTTATTATTTCTATGGGTAATGATCAAATTGTACCTACTTCGAATAAAAAGCATTGTTCCTGGTCATACAATTGCAGCCATGTATTCAACACACTTCCTAGGTTTTTCCATTTCTCGGTTCTCTCAGCTATATTGTCTGGGCGGAGCCTATATTTAGACAAACAAAAATAACATTGTATTTAATCACTCAGGTACAAATAATTTGTAAAGCGAAGTGGCATTTATTCTGATATATTATATATAAAATTTTGATATTTTATGACGAGCTAAAATTTGATTTCATGTTTATCGATGGTTATTAAATATTATGCGTATGAGAGTAGCTGTAAACGCAAGAAATATGTTGGGATTTTTTTACACTTGTGGACTCGATTAACAGGGTATAACAAATTTATCAGATGGGACCAATTATAATTAAGCAACTGTATTTGACTACTTATTTATGCACTTATCAATGGGTGCAGGTCAACTCGGCCACAGTCAACTCAGCCACAAGTCAACTCGGCCACAAGTCAACTCGGCCACAAGGCAACTCGGCCACAAGTCAACTCGGCCACAAGTCAACTCGGCCACAAATCAACTCGGCCACAAAAAGTTCGGCTACAGCCAACTCAGCCACAAGTCAACTCGGCCACAAGTTATTTAATGTAAATCTCAGTTTTTGCATCCTTTTTCTTCAATATATGATTGAAATAAAGTACACAGTATGTTTTAGTAAAACAGGACCACCACACTACCAAAAGAGATTTGAATGCTATTGCCTACGAATTAAAAAGAGTTATTTATTAATGTGTTCGTCTTCTGTTTACTCACAACATTCGACTTCGAACAATAATATTAAACAACAATAACGACAATAAATTAGTAATATTTACTTTAATAATACTAATTAGTAATTATGACAATAATAAAGGTGATAACAACAACACCAACATTAATAGCAATATTTATTTTAACAATACAGTACTGATAGTAATAATACTAGTATGGTAATAATAACGATATTTAAATATCAATTTTAATAACTAATTAGTGATAATAACGATATTGAAGGTGATAATAGCAATAATACAACAATAATAAATTAAAGATAATGTTTATTTTTATAATAATAGTAATACTAATTAGTAATAATAATAATAATGATACTTATAATACTAGGCCTACTTAGTAATAATAGGGTAATAATATCGATAATAAGGGTGACAACAACAACAACAACAACAATAATGTTAACAATAGTAATAATAATAATATGAGAAAAATACCAATAAAACACCAATAACAATAATTTTTTCAATTACTATTATTAAAATAATAATACTAAGACTAATAAATAATAATAATAATAAGAATAATAAATCGAAAATTATTTATTATTTATATGGTACTGTAATAATAATAATATCAGCAAAAATTTGAACAATATATTAATGTTAATGCTAAGACTAATAATTATTATTAAAACTAACGGTAATAAAAACAACAATAATAACAAAAATGACAACAATAATAACGGCAATAATAATAACAATAAATATACAGTAGTAATACTTAAAGAATTAGTATTTTATACTTGATGAATTATTCCTTCAAAGTGTAGTACCAGTAAATGACTTGTGGCCGAGTTGATTTGTGGCCGAGTTATTATTATTATTATTCTTTCTTTAGGCACACAACACATGTGCCAAGGATTGCCAATAGCGAATATATATCACTGTCCTACTTGTAGGTGACAATCCCTTACACAAGACAAACATACACACACGATGCTTTACACAAACTAAATCTCAATATGAGATTTAGGGAGTGGAGTTGTTTATGTTGTGAGAAATATCCTGCAACTGGCAGGAATTGAACCCAGGACCCTGGGATTGGAAGGCAAGCATCTTAACCACCAAGCTATTCAACTCCACTTGAGTTGATTTGTGGCCGAGTTGACTTGTGGCTGATTTGACAGTAGCCAAACTTTTTGTGGCCGAGTTGACTTGTGGCCGAGTTAACTTGTGGTTGAGTTGACTGTGGCCGAGTTGTTGGATCAAATTCTTATCAATTAATTATTTAAGCTCCTGACAACGCAAGAAATATATTTTTACTTGTGGACTCAATTAACAAATTTATCAGGTGGGACCAATTATAATTAAGCAGGTGTATTCGACTACTTAATTAAGCACTTATCAATTAATTAGTTAAGCTCAACTAATTAAGCACATGTTAAGTAACAAATTGAGCATCATATTAACTAATTAAGAACTTGTCAATAATAATAATTAATAATTTCTAATAATTAATCATTAACGGATTAATTACACAATTCTAGATCCCCTTATTAATTAACTGGACTTACTCTTCAATGACAGGTCCAAAGTGCAAACTGACAATCTTGTTAAAAATCAGCAGTTTTCGTGATAGAAAGTCTTCTGATTCTTTACCATCTCCGTTGAATGCAATGTACAAGTGATCACAAAACTAAATACAAATTTTTAAAATTTAATAAATAAGTTAAAGTTCAAAAGTACTGATAAAATTGTTAATATTTTTCTTGGGTCTGAGGTACTTGGGCCCCAGATACCTTCCTTCTGCCCTTTTCATCCAATATACTGTATTCCCCTTGACTATTCACAAGGAGGGGATGTAATTGTCTTACACTAACCTCCTTGTGTTCATCACAGGGGAAGCCATGAATAATAAATAATAATATGATATCAAAAGCTTCTACCAGGAACAATCATACCTCTCTGAATACAAAAATCGAACCATTCTCGCAAGTAATGGAACTGTAACCATTATCCAGCTCGCAGGACAAAAGACCGTGAGATGCTACTATTGGCGAAAAAAACTGCGTTGCTATGTTTAGGTCTAATTTTTCCCAAGATACTTCATTTTTCTGAGAAACAAAAAAAAAACAAAATCAAGCAAAATACTCAGCACGTAAACTTTAAATCTTTTTTAATGGATTAACTGCTCATAACTTAGTGAATTTACAAATGAGTTTCCTTATACTGTTCACTAGATAATCAACCTTTGAACCTGCCGTTTAATAGGTCTATACAAGAATTTCCAATAACGAATACATCACTGGCACAGTATGTACAAGTGGCAATATCTTTTAAACATTTATATACACGGCGGGAAAGTCAGTTCAATGGGGGATGATCCTTAATTGTTCTTTAACATGTACATGGACCATATAATAACACAGGATCAACAGCATATGGTCACAATGTGCCTATATATGGTCTAGTGTGCCTAAATATGGTCATGATAACATCACATCATGACCATATATAGGCACATCATGACCATATATAGGCACATTGTGACCATATATAGGCACATTGTGACTATATACTATGAACTATGAACATCCAGGTGTTTTTATTACTTAGTGTCTATAGTTGATGTCTACAGAATGTGAAAACAAACACTAACTATACCAACTAATGATAACAACTTGATGACTATTATTGGTCAACAGTGACTACTGACCTGGACAAGGCCTTTGTCCACAGCTACTTTATTAACATGCCGGATAAACTCTGCATCTGCAGACATGAACACAATGTCTGGTATTCCAGAGTTCATCAGAACAATGAGGCATTTCATGATGAATTTAGTTGATAACAGCACCTAAAATACAAGGAAGCATGATGGGTTTACAACCTGAAAAAAAAAAACACCTCTATGTATTATTATTATCTTTATATACAGCAGTTAATAACAGCAGTCAGGGGTCTCGGCCCTTAATAGACTCGGACCATAACACCGACTCGGCCCATTGCCAACTCGGCCTTTAACCAACTCGGCCCATAACCGACTCAGCCCATATACCAACTCGGCCTATTTGCCAACTTCCCAAGCATAGCATGGGTACCTTGCTGTAATTATTATTTTTAAATAGCTGAACACTATATACTGAATATACTGAACTGATTCATTATGCCTATCTTTATACTGTACTGTCATGAAAAGCAGATGAACCTTGTGTGAAAATTCCAATAAATGAACATGAGCATGAAAATCTTGGCAAATCTTATCAAACCGTTTTGCAATAACTTATTACAGTATAAACATACACATAATTCATTAAAAAGTTATCCTATAAAGTGTCATTTGAAATTTTATGGTAATTTTATCAACATACAGTATGCGTTGCCATCTTTGAGATCGTTGAAGATGATCCTATCATCATGTCAGTGTTATTATGGACTTATCAAAGGCTTTCGATGTATTGAATGAGGATATTTTGATACAAAAGATTCATCATTAAAGATTAAGGAAATTTTATTTGTCCATAGTGTCATGGATTCCTACTTGACGTATTTCCGAGCGGTATAGAAATGACTAGGAATCCCTCTTTGACATATAAAATATAAACACAGCTCACAATGTTGTAAAACAACTCTCAAATAAACTTTTATTCTGTATAAACTCCAACAAG